TAAGGTTCCCCTGAGTCTCCTTTTCTCCAGGCTAAACAACTCAGCTTCCTCAGTAGTTCCTCATCAGACTCGTGCTCCAGACCCTTCCCCAGCTTTGTTGCCCTGCTTTGGACACGCACACTTGGATCTAGTTTAGCAGAACTGACTGGTAAAACCCACACCCAGAAAGTACCATTACCTGACTCCTTTATGGGGAGCCGTCCTGTGTGGCTGCAACACAGCAGACCTCTTCTCCTGCCCCAGCTCCCTAGAAATCCTGCCCTGGCATTGCCCCATGGCTAGTTGCCATTGCCCTTGGGGCCTGTGTAAGCCAGTATTTGCTGGTTTGACTTATTCACGCAGTGGAGGAGATTCCTGCAGCACATGCTGGTGACATGCCCCATGTACTGCTGGATGTTTCCAGCCTGGTCCGGACTGTGTGACTTTGGTCTGCTCTCTGCTTGTGTACAGGCACTTGGGGATTTTCCAGAAAAAAAACATGTGCCCATTCCCTGCTCTTCTGCTCCCTTTCATTGAATTTAAATGGTGCCAGGTAAAGCTTAAGGGTTTTAGGTGAGCAAAACAAAAACTATGGCGAAACGAAGCCATGAGTCTACAAGGCAAGAAGGATTGCGTGTTTGCTACATATACCTGAGGGCAAAGTTTTGTTTTTTATTCACCTTGGTTGCTCCAGGATGCCTCTCATTTCACACACATTTCAGCCTTTATGGCAGCTCTGAATGATGACTTTTGGTCACTAGTGACCTTTTCTGTATCTCCTAGTCCACTGGGTTTTCACTCTCCAGTTCCAGCCACCATTTCCTGAATTATTTTCCACTTGGAAGCAGTTCTCCCCCTCATCCTGCTGTGTCTGCCTGGAGTGCCCCTGCTCCTTCCACTCCCTCCATCTCAAAACCTCAGCCCTTTCTCCCACATCTCACAAAAGCTGCGTCCTCTTCTCTGTAGGGCCAAGCTCCTTTCCCAGCCCGCTCCTCCGTGTCCACATCAGCAATGCACTTTGCAAGCCTCTTCCTTCCGTGCTCTTTTCTTAGGCTGGACTCCCTTCTCCAACTCCCCCCGCCACCTCCCCTGCTCTCCAGCAAAAACCAGCACTCGCTGTGCCTCCAGCCTGGGGACACCGACTTCCTCCTCCGCGAGCAGCCGCAGCAGCTTCCTCTGACCGCGGCTGTCCCAGACACTCTGGCTCCAGGGCACACCCTCCACGTGCACGAAAACACTGCACCAGGGCTTTGCTTTCTTCTTCAAAAATTCAGCTCAGCCCAGGCAGCTGTGCTGCTGAGGAAACACCTGCAATGCCTGTCACCCACCGTGCCACTGCCAGCCTGGACACCCCAATCAGCTCCACCAGCCGTCGTGACCCACTGCTGGGGGCACCTCCAAGGACTACGGCATTTCCTTGTGTCCTTAAGCATCCTTGCATCCTGTAGGACCTTCCTGACAGAGGATGACTTTTTTATCAAACCAAATCTGTTGTTTTGTTACAGAGCAGATACCCTGTAAACCATGGGGCACCAAAATTTTAGGTGGATCCATAGAAAAGCACCCTACTTGGGTGGAAGGTTGCACAAGAGATGGAGAATATTCTTCTGGAGTTTAGCGCCTGTGGGCAAGCATAGCCCAAGGCATTGTGGGGAACAGTTTGGGAGAGACAGAGATGTATCTCTCTCAGGGAGCCTTGTTCACTCAGCTGCCCTCCCAGGTGCCGTGACTCACCATCCTGCGCCGTCAGCTTGTGTAACGGAGGGCGAATCGCTCCGTGCCAGCGGATCCTGTTGGAGCTTGCTTGGAGGTAGGCTGCTCTGTGCATGCCACCACCCTGGGCAGAGTTGTCAGGGATGGGGACAGGACCTGGTTGTCCCCGAGCAGCCTTGCCGTGGCCACACAGCAGTGGGGCTGCTGTTGCCAGTGAAGTCTGGACCACGCCCAGTGACCTGTGCCCAGGCTGTGCAGATGCCCACGTGATTGCTGGCAAAGGGATAACCAAGCTCTCAGCACAGTTCTTGCCTTGGATGCTGCCAGTTCCCAGGCAGATGTGTTTTCAGGTCGCGTGAACTCAACAGACTTGGAACAAGCTGCAACTTGGCAGAGACATCCAAAGAATATCCAGATGTTACAGGAAGTGCTGTCAGGTTGGGTCAACCTAGGACTAATTCAGTGCTGGTAGAGGCCATGGTGTTGCTGGCCTCTGGCCTTCCAAGTAGAAAGCTACTTTTAATTTCCTGGTGGCTTGTGGCCACTAGAATCACCAGGATCTCCCATTCCCAGCTGAGTGTCAGTGGCCAAGCCCACTTTTTACTTACTTAATTTTCTGCTGCGATTTAAAACTAGGGAAGTTTTGCTGATTTCCTCCTTTCTAGGCAATGGTTGTGTAACACTCCTGGCTTGGGAAAACAGCTGTGTTCCAGTCCAAAGCAGCTGTGCTGCAGTGGCGGATTTTGGTCATCCATATTACCTAGATAGAATGTTTGTCATCTATCTGGACACCCTTTGGTCTGGGAGGGAACACTGTGATGATGATGAGTTAAATGCCTTGACCTCGTTTGGGAATTTTACTGGGGAACATGTGCAGAACTTGGCTAGCAAGGGGTGGGGATAGTCATGCTGTTCTTTACATTTCTGTTCACTTAAACTACATATGCTCTGGCAAATGCTACCTGGAAAGCCTGGCATGGCTGCAAGTTCTCCATCTCAAGCAAACCCCGGGTCTGCCTACAGGATGGGAGACTGCTCTGGGAAGTGGTGCCAACAACTGCTTTCTATGAGTAAAGTGACAAGAAAAGTCTAGCTCTTTCACAGAGGGATGGAGGGTGGAGTGACACTCAGTCAGGAAAGCAATTTGCATTTGATACTGGAATGGGTTGTGCTAGGGCAGAAGAGGATGTGAAGGCACTGGAGGGTGTAAAGGAGGATCAGTGAAGTGGGGATGTAGCTGGAAAATGAGATTTGGGATTGAGGACTAGGATTCCTTTTACTTGTCAGACATCACTGCGAGTGGGTGATTCTGTATGAAAAGAACTGAACAAGGCGAAGCGGAGATGCTTTTGAGTCTTGCTAGTGAAGATGAAACATGAGCAAACAACACAACATCTGGTAAAACCACCCTCGCAGTAAGGAGTCCACTGACATCTCACCTTCCCACTTTGTTGCAGCAAGAAAGGATGTTTTTCTGCACCATGTGCTCTGATCCAGCTACCGGGAATACTCTTCAGTGAAGTCAGTATGTACAACTGGGCAAGGCTGCACGGTGTGTGGGGAGTACTCTTCACTCTGAATCCAACTCCTGCTCTCCCTCATCCTGGATGTTGTGGAGAAAAAGGCCAGCTGCCGTTGTCCTCAGTGTGGTTATCACGTTTGTGGCTCTGTCTTCAGAATATAAGAGGAGTATAAGCTCATGGCTCCTCCAGGAGTAGACGCATACTAAGAGTATATTTTTTGCTCATTTACCACCTCCCTCTGAAGGTTTAGTATGCTTTCAGTTTCCAATATGACAGCAAAAAGGGGTAGACCTGAAAATTGCAGTGTTTCTGGAAATATACTTCTGCTTTGCTTATACCTGCCTGCATTGCCAGCAGACATCACATGCTGTAAGAGGGTGGTACACACAGATTGGTTTTTCCAGAGAGAAGCAGTAGGAAGTGCATGTGCATCTGCAGAGGATTGGGTGATTCAGCAGGGAGTTCCCCGAAGCAGCCAGTGAAAGGATGCTGGGCTTACTGGAAATGGCCAGGTGCCATTGCCCCCAGACAGAGGATAAGCACAGGGGGCTGAGCTGGTGGATTGTACTCACCAAACCACATTCACCAAGCAGCTCTTTCCTGTGGACTCTGTTTGAGCAACCTGTCCCCCAGAGAAACTGGACTTTGTGGCCTGTGTGGAAGACAAGTAGAAGCTGAGTGCTAAGGGAAAAGGTCTCTTGCAAAGGAAATAGAATAGAATAGAAATGGATTTAAAACGATCATCCAGTCCAACTGCCTGACCCCTGCAGGGCTAACCAAAATTAATCCATGTTGTTAAGGGCATTGTACAAATGCCTCTTTAAACACTGACAGGCTGGGGGCATCGACCATGTCTGTGGAAACCTGATCTAGTGTTTGACCACCCTCTTAGTAAAGAAATGTTTTGTTGTGTTAAGTCTGAACTTCTCCTGGTGCAGCTCTGAACCATTCCCATGCATCTGATCACTTGGTCCCATGGAGAAGACATCAGCACCTCCCTCTCCACTTCGTCTTCTCAAGAGCAGAGAGTAATGAGGTCACTCCTTAGCCTCCTTTTCTCCAAAACAGACAAGCCAAAGTCCTCAGCTCCTCATAGGACATTCCTTCCAATCTTTTCACCAGCTTTGCTATCCTCCTCTGGATGCATTCAAGTCCCTTAGCATCTTTCTTGAATTTATCAATACAGCAGGATAATCACCTCTGTTGACTGATGAATTGATGGTTGGGGAGAGGCTGAGGTGCTGCCATTCCCTCACACTTGTAAGATGAGGACACTACAGAGGGGAATCATCTCTGAGATCTGGTGGGAATGTGTTTTTACATACATACATGACAAAATCCCCTTCTGAGACCTTGTAGTGTTTAACAGTAAGAAAAGACCATAGAAATCAGAAAACCAAAATATTTTTTTTGTCCAGGAGTCCTAGATTTGTTGCCTATTTTGGGTGCACCTAGTCTTTTAGAAATTAGTTATGTTCATTTTACACATTGCCTGAGAACTATTAACAGTCACAAATAAGGATATTATACACTATCACACTGAGCTTTTATTCAGTATAACACTGGCAAATCCTGACCAGAAGAGTCGTGGACTGTACTTGGGCAATAAGTGGAAGTGCAACACGAAAAGTGGTGTAACAGTTATGAAGGCAGTGTTACCACATCCCCTTTTGACTCTTGGCTCTAACTTGCTGAGGGTCAAAGTGAATACAGCTTTTAAGGGTCAAAACTGTTTTTTCCTTGGACCAGAAAGCAAGGACCTGGCTTCATTTTGCCTTCCTCCAGCAGTGAGTTGCTGGCTGCCTGCTGGTATCATGGAGGCACAGCTCACTGAAACTCTTCTTTGCCACTGTTGAGGCATCACACTACAACAGGATCAGTCTGTTCTATTCCCAGACCCTATTGCCTCGAGAAGATCAAGACATTTTGCCTAACCAAGTCACCAGATGCAGTACTCAGGTGAAATCTGATGGTCTGTGATTGCCAAGCCAGGTAAGACAAACTAATGGCCCCTTCTGGCTTTCAGCTGCATCATGTGTCGGGTCCATGTTGCTTTGTGTGTTGTGTCCCGTGGGGACTGGAATGTGGTCACTTTTGGGGTGTGTGGAGCAGGAACTGGGGCGGGCAACTCAGAGTGTCACAGCCAAGGAGGTGTCCCCATCAGGGAGGCTGTGGGAAGGCTCATCTCGAGGAGAAGGTTCTGGGTGCAGTGGAAGCAAGTGGCCTGACACTGTTCCAGGGGGGCTCCTGAGAGCCTGGCGATGCTGTGCTTTGAAATCCCACATGAGGTTTCCCCTGAGTGAGTGTGATGGGGTTTCAGAGCTGTTCTCAAACTGCTCAAGTGCTTGTGTATCCGCAGGGTGTGCAATGGACTGTCTCCATGTCTAACTCCTACCAATGTCTGGGATGATTTTAGGCATTTCCTTTTCCCTGTCCTGCCTCTCCTTTCTGTCTCCTCTCTCGTGCTGCAACCATGGACCCATCCTCAGCACCCAGCTCCAGCTGAGCTGCCTTGGGAAGGGAAGCAGGACCCCAGGGGTAGTCCTGGATGTTTGGTAGCTCCTCCCTCAGACATTACTGTGACTGCTGGTCTGTCTCGCTCCCAGAGCTCTGCTCACAAGGGAAACTTCTCATGTGTTCTTCTTGGCTCCTCTATCCCAGTCACGGTAATTATGTGTCTGCTTTTTGGCCTTCATTTGTACTAAGCTGTTGTGCCTCAAGTGAGCGCTTATTGGCACTTCCTTCTCCAAAAAGGAGTGACTGCAAAATAAGCCAAGGGTCATTTCCCTTCCCTTGAGACCAGGAGACATCCTGGCTTTTCAATCAGACTCCATAAATTTTAAGGCTTAGCATCTCATGTGTTTTGCCCAGAGAGGGGTGGAGATTCCCCCGGAGAGAGCAAGGAAAAGAGGCTTCTTCTGATGTGACAGTGCATTGCTTGGGCGAGTGTTTTTGAGGTATCTGAGACAAATGACAGCACAGACCAGTGAAAAAAACAATCACCAATGTACCAAGTGTGTGAAATGAATCAGAAGTGGAAGAAGGAAGTGACCATTTTCTATTTCTTGCATCATCTTACTTGCATATCATCCTGCAAAGTTGGGCATCAGCAGGTGGAGCTGCTAAACATCACCCAGCAAAAAGTGCTGCCAATAAACAGAATGCTGTTGTTGAAAATCAAAACAAATACACTGCACTACTTGTGATGAATGCAAATTTTTAGACTGAAAATATTTCTGATATCTGCAATGCTCACTATAAGCTCACAATCAAGGATTCAGACTATTGTCAGAAGCTTGAAACTATCAAGACTACATGCTAGTGGGACGATACGGCAGGGAGCTCAAGAGCAACTGACTGGTTACAGTGATGAGGATGGTATTAGTACCTCGACATGTTCTGGCCCCTTCATGGAGTATCCCTCTAGTGCTGGTGTTTACACCCTGAGAGTAGAGACAAGGGTTGCATCAAGGAGTTCCTCTCTCCCCCATCCCTTTCAGGGTGAGGGTCAGTACTGGTAGCTGGAGGAGTGTACCGCAAGGGCAAATACTCCCACTGAGGCAGCACACCTGGCCCAGGAACCACCTGAGGTGTGATCCCAGACTCAGCACTATTCCTTGGTTAAAGTCCACAGGTTCCCCACGTCCCCTCCCTAACAAATCCCACAGGTCCTAGGGCTAGCTTTTCTTTCCCCCAACAAGCCCATACCTTTTCTTGGGCCTCTGTTTTAATGTCTTTTCTACAGACACAGCAGTGATGTTGCTATAAGTTGCACATTCAGGAGGGCTTATGGCTCAAAGAAGTCCAACTTTTCTAAACCCAGGAGCTGCTAAGTGAGATTTTCACACAGCCCAGAGCTGCAATCCAGCCCACCTCCGCAAGAAGGGTTTATGGAAGCAGTTCATGGGCAGGAGACAAATGTGTGACCAGGATTCTTTCACTCCATTCCAGAAGTGTATGTCCTGCTTGACTGCAGCCTGATGGTTTCATCCTCAGGCAGGGATTAGATCACTAACACACCATCCACCAGTGTAACCCACAAGGTGGGTACGTGGGATGATCCTACCATAGGAGCCACACCTGAACACAAGCCGTGTGTGGCATTACAAGCCCACTGCTGCCTGAAAACCCAAGCATTGCTCAGGGTATGGAGCAACCTGTGTACAGAGGAAACCTGCTGTCACTTTCTCTGACATCTGACAGGGCTATGGGTGAGGGTGTGCCACTGAGAGAGGGAGAACGAAAGGAACAACACTATTTCTTGATTTCTAGGCTGCAATTAAGAAAGGGTTGTGTTTTTCATTTTCACGTGCCTGAACTTCCACCAGCTGCATGCACCCACCCACAGCATGTGTGCCGTGTTTTTATTATGGCTGTAGCCTCAGGTAGCGTGGAATCAGGGCCAAGCATACATTAGTAAAGTTAGGAGAAATATCATCTGACGGGTCTGGACTGTGCTGTGGGCAGAGCATATTTGGCAAGACTGCTTCCTTCGCAATCCAGCCCAGAGACATTCCCTGATCCTATCTGAACAGAGACTGAACTTGCAAAACGAGTCCCAGCTTGTGAGCTGTGAGTCAGGGATGTCTTAAACACTGCCTCAGCATCCAACACCAACAAGCCCTTTTTATCTTGTTCATCCTGCTGAAAAAGCTGCAGCAAGCCCTCATGTTAATAGAGCGGTTTTGGAAGCTGTAAGACATAAGACTGTTTTTTTCACACCCTCCAGCCCTTGCTCCTTTTGTCCATTTTTGACCCATTATTGTGCTCTTCTCTGGTTCAGCTAATGGGACTCTCAACTGCACTGCTCACAGTCAGTGGTTTGAAGCCTGCATCTGCTCCATATGTCCATGTTCATGTTCCTCACTGGTGAGCCATAGGGATATACTCACTTCAGTGGGTTTGTCTATGTAGCAGCCTTTGAAGGACATGTGTTCTTAAAGTCCAGTATACTTTCCAACTTCTTTTGAGTACCACCATAGTAAAGAAAGCCTCCTTCATGACTACAGTAATTTCCTGAATTGTCTGCCGGGAAAGGTAGGAGTCTGTGGAATACCCTGTGGCACCCCTCCATCGTATCCGAGAAAGACTAATCAGAAATGTTGCATTTGGGAACCATTAGCTGAAAAATGAGGATGAAAAACATCAGATGTGAGGAAGACAGGACTTACACCGATCTATTCCAGAAAATCCCAGCTGGTATTGGTATCACAATGGGTCAACTTATCTTTGCCCAAGTTTCAGTGAGAAAGTGCAGATGCAAAGGCAGCGTGGATTAATGACTGAAGAGGTACATGCATCTTGTTACTAGAAGATGGAAAGAGAAAATATTATTTACCTATGAAACAAAGGAATTTAAGACAGAAGTCTATAGTAACAGAGAACAGAAAGCATAGTGTTTTATTGAAATACAGTGCAATGGAGACAAAGGGACTACATGGGATGTACCTGATGCCTTTATAGCCTTGATTCATCTTACTTCAAAAACAGGCACATCACAGAGAATAAATGAGTCCTGGATGGTTATAAACAAAGTACTTTATGGAGGAGAGAGGGTCATACCCCTGTGTAACAAGAATGTACCAAGATTCACCATTCTCTTGTGTACCAAGAAAGACACAATCAAATCTAATTTTCTAAGAAGGGAAGAGAAGGATCAGATTGGAAAGAAAATAAAGGCATCTTGCAACTGGCTTTTATCTTAAATACATTTTGCTCTTTTTCCACAGTACGGTGTAATGCAGTCTTCATGCCCCTTTTCTCACCTTCCCTCTGTTTTGCAGTATCACTCGTTGCTCTTTACATGTCAGTGCTGCCCACTATCAGCACCACGTACATTCCTTCAACAAACAACACCATTCCCCTCTCATGGGCTTAGGATGAGTTATTTCAGAGATATCATACAAGGGCCTTAAATATATTGGCTTTAGAGCTATTTTTACTTGCAAGTGCTTGAGCCAAACCTTTGATGTTTCATTTGGGTTCAGGGTAAAATAGAGAACACATTAAAATAAGCAAGAGCTGGTGGTTTTGTTCTAAGTGTTACCAGAAGCCAGGGTGAGACTCCGAAGAGGAAGGGAAGGAGATTGCCAAAGATTTCCGTTGGATACTTACTCTCTCCGGGGTTTGTAAATCTGTTCCGTAACACTCTTAATCCCTCCTGCTGCAGGGAGTATGGTATCACTGAAATCCTCATGATCTCCTGCAAACAAAGCTTTTAATGCAGTCTTTTGTTTATTGTCTCTGCAAAAACAGGGGGTCATTTCTCCTCTGAAGCCTGAAGGCTCAGGAAAGTTATTGAATGTCCTATCCTGGTCTGCTTCCCATCCAGCATTTTGACAGGCATGGGCTAGTCCATATCCAGACACAGCTTTGCTGGATGTGCCAAAGGAATGGAGTGCTGGAGTCCATGACATGATAATTTTCCAAAGTCAGGGTGAAGGCAAGGCAACCACAACTACCTGGCTTGAAGAGAATGTCCATATGACACTGGAAGCAGCCTCTTGAAAAGACTGAAGGTTATTCAAGCTGTCCGCTGGCCAAGGGTCTCCTTGCTAATGTTGTGCAGAGTGGCCTGGGGACTCCCCAGGTCTTTGCCAGGACCCTGAGTGCTGGGGCTGAGGAGGAATGTGGGGTTGGCGTGCCCCTCCAAGGCATTCTGTGGCTATGTTCAGGGCCTGTGCCATGCAGGAGAGAGGCCAGCTGGGTCCTGAGAGCATCCTTGGGAATACCCTTAACTAACAGCATCAGTGCCAAAGGTGGCAGCATTCAGGAGGCTGAACTGACCTGCTCCTGCCCCACCCATACAGGAGGAAAGTCAGAAGTGCAGAGCAGCTCCAGTGCAGTCCTTTTGGTGAATCTGACCTAAGACAGGAACTTTCTCATTTAACGCCACCTAAAAGGAAGAAGGAAGGAGACTGTACCCTTCCAACCTCAATGGATTGTACAGGAAATGATTCACATACAAGCCAATACCATCCTGCAACCATACC